TGCACATAATATCAAACTCAATCTTGGTAATGTGATTATAAAAATCAGTTTGGGGACTAGACCTACAAAATTACTTTAATTAAAAAAAATATTTTTCGGTAAATATTAGGGGAAAAAAAAATGAGAAAATGGGTTTAAATATTTGGAGAGAATGAAACCGACAGAGGAAAGAAATTAGATTTTTTTTTTTTAATTTTTATTTACTAATTTGAATGTAAAAGAAAACTTATTCTCTGAAACTATGTCCCTCCACTAGGCTTCTATTGAACAACTTTTGTTTTTAAATGGCATTTTTTTATGTGCGTCTAGTCCTATGATGACAAAAAAGAACTTGATTTTGGTGTGCTCACAAATCATGTTAAGATTGGTCACAAATCATGTGAAGATTTACTTTCTAGAAAAGTATATTTTTACTTACTAACAAAATGCAACTTTTATTTGATAAATACACAATTTAACTTGCTTTTGAGCACGATCGACCGTAAAGCCTTTGATTTTTGTGTGTCCCTCTCATCATTTACCATCTTGTTAAATCCCTTTCGTCCACCGCACATTCACAACTTGTTTATCTCAATAACTATACTCAGCTTCCACACATGGTGCCAGACCCCACACCACTTTTAATATATATTCTGAAACCAACCATGAACCCTAAAGGTGAGATTAGAGACTCTCCTTGTGCTTCAAGAATATCTACCATATCCATTAATTCAACTTTGATGAATAGAATTAACTATGTTGTGTCACATATAGGATAGGAAATATTTTATCAGGTAACTATACTGAAAAAAAAGGTAAATATGACACAAATATTCTTTCTTGACTTGTTATGTTTGAAGGGCATGAAGAATTTTTATCAGCATATTTTTAGTTGACAATAAGGCCCAATCCACTCTTCTTGGGACATAATTCCACAGAATTTGAAAGAAGATAAAGAGAGATAAGGGATTAATCCTATTGGATACTTCTTTATTTCATTCTCATTTCGACTTTCCTAATTCCTTAATTAAAATTGGAATAGCTTCATCCCAATTTGAACTGAGTTTTGCCTTATTTCAATTTAAAAATATAGATTCTAATGTAAAATAATCTTGATGCTTAACTTTTAAAACTTTTTCGAACAATTATCGTACTTTCAATGTTGTTTTTCCAATAATCACCGAACTTTAAGCTAGTCGTTGTACTTCCAAAACGTTATTTCTCAACTGCCACTCTTGATCAATTGAAAAATTAAACAATTTTGTTTGCTACATCATCAAAGTCGTTAATTTTCAAACAGATGGAGATGAAATAACGAACAAAAAATAGATGACCATTAAGAAAGAAGTTTAAAGTTCAATGACCGTTCAAAGTAAGTGATCTCTAAAGTTCTTAACCCAGCAATTACAAAGTAATCGTACACGTCAAGGTTTTGTTTATATGGATGAATTTAATAAAGATTAAAAAAAAAACCAGTTTATACAAACATGCAACAAGTATCACCAAAATTGTTCAAGAAAAGAAAGAAAGAAAGAAGACTCCGCAAAAGAAATTATAGAGCAATGTATGCGAATGAGATTTTATGACTCGGACTCCATGGGATGCCCTGAGTATTCTATCGGATTTTTTCCATCTCAAAATATAAACAAAATCCTATGTACCAAACATTATACGTCGATAAATTTCATTATAGGAGGAGGGCTAATACAATCATTAAAGGTCTATTCTTATATTCGATCTAACGAGTCTATAGATCGTACTCATTTGCTAAACCAACATGTAGGGCATGAAATAGATTTAATCTACTCGAACCTTACCTGATGCATAATAAGAATACCTGCTTAGTCATTGTTTAAAACAAGCTTTACATGTCAAAATGCCATTAAGAACATAAAATATCAGCCAGACTATGTAACATAACGAATCATTAAAACCAACATATTTTGTGTGCTCGCATGCGTGAGAGAGAGCAACATGATGTTAGATATTAAAGATTTCAAATGTAAAAAGGTGAGGTTATTAGTGTAAGAAAGTTCCTTCAAATGCATAAAAAAACAGGTTGGCATTACGAGGATTAGCAAAAGCAAGAGTTCAATTTAACTGCAACAGGAATGTGTGTGTGTGTGTCTGTATATATTGTATTGTATATAATGCGCATCCAGTGTCAAATATTCATAAAAGACAGACTGGAACCCAGAAAAGAGTGGCTCCACTTGCATGACCCAATATCTTCATTCTACAATATAGTGCTGTGTAAAAACAACATTTCTATGGGCATGAATTGGAATCCGATTGATGGGTTCTTCCTTTAATCATTTCTCTATCTCATCCAGTCTAAAACTGTACTATGGAAAATATGGAAAAAGAAGAGAGAGGGAGAGGGGGAGAGAGAGGGGGAGAGAGTATTAAGGGGAGGGCTTTGATTAGCATCTAACTTCATCTCCATTTCTCAACCTTTCCAAGGAATATTAGTATTACCTAGGGCTGGGCAAAATGTCCGAACCGAACCGGAACCGAACCGAACCGAGCGGGTTTTCTTAACTTAAAAACCCGAAGAACCGAAGAACCGAAAAATTTTGGTTCGGTTCTCGGTTCTAGACCTAGAACCGAAGAACCGAATAAGAACCGAATTTTTTTTGATAAATCAATTTATTTTATTTTTTCTAAACAAATTAACAATTTTTTGTTTTAACTATTTGATATATATATATATATNTGATATTTTAGCCATTCATGGTTGGGTTTAGGGTTTAGGTGCTAAGATCGAATTTTGTATTTGTATCTACTTCTTGTTATTAAGCCACTGTTTGACCAGCATTCTTGTGAAGAAAAAATGAAGAATTGGACCATTTTTTTCAAATTAGTGGACCCCTCCCTCTTACAAGTTGGTCAAATATTTCGACTGACCCCATGTCTAACGGTAAGAAAATTTCTAGAAATGGGAAAAAAAAGCCCTCCAAACAAGGGCTAATATTAGTATCTATTTTCATGTGTATTTATGTAGTATTATTTTAAATATTAAAAAATTTAATTATAGTATAGAACCGAACCGAACCCGAACGGTTCCAAAATTATATTTGGAACCAACGGTTCCATTTACTAAAGAACCGAAAATTTCTGGAACCGAAAAAAATCGAATCGAACTGAACCGAACCGATCAGATCAGTGCCCACCCCTAGACTATTACCAGAGAAAATAATCACACCAATAATACGTAGTTGTGTGTGTTCACATGTGAGATTTTCGTGGATACGAATGTTGACTAATACAGTAGAATAATTAGCAGAATATATTTTTAAAACGAATATAAGCATCAGTTGCCTTTACAAGGAAAAGAACCACTACTTTTACTTTTCATTAATGCGATCTTGTTCAGTAAATGTTTAACATATATTCTTTCAAAATACATTCTTTTAAAACTCATTCTCAACCATATATTCTTCAATAAAATAATATTTTTCATCACATCAATAATTTTCTTATTTTTTAACCACATATTTCCTATCATATCACTATTTAAAATACATTTTTTCGTCGATAATATCCATCAAACTCAAACAGACGTGAGCATAAATTCTCCCACTGGAGAAATAAATTTCTATTATCTAACTAAAATGTGATTAATTTCAATGGACTTGTCCCCCATATATAACAACTAATCAAAGGAATGTCGGGCAAAAAAAATAATTTGTAGTCGCCTCTAAATTTATTAAGAACTTAGCTTGTGGTGGTAACCATCTTCGATGTCCAAGGTCTTCAAAGTTACCTCTAATTATCTAATTTAACTGGATAAGGGCAAAGAGGAAGAAAGTTTATAAATAGATGAATACTTGGGTCTCAATCTTTTTTGGATGGAATCCATCTGTGGGGACTCAAGGGCTACAAAACTTGGAAGGTTGGGGAAACAATGTCAAGAAAAATTAGTTTGGGACCGAAGTGCTCATCTTGTAAGGTTGGGGACTTTCGGTGCTACTTTCCGTAGATTCAAAATGACCTTCCAACAAGCCACCTGAGAAAGTATTATTAAATAATCAATCGAATATGATTCTTATAATGATGTTTTTAGCTGAATGCAAATTTCCACATTCACTATAAGATATCAAATAAAATTTCATTTAGTTCCTAAAAAGTGAGAACCCTAGAAGAAAATAAAAAATAGCACTAAAGAAACCAGTGCTGCAGGCACAAGAATTGACATACACATAATGTAAGAATCCATTTGCAGAAAACCATAAACAAATCAAAACTAATCAAGATGATTAAAGTGAGAGGTGGGGAGCACTATCATTGTCTACAGAGATGTAAAAAAGACTTAAGTCTTCATGTTCATATGAATAGCAATGTCATATACCTAACAAATTATTGAAAACAAAGCCCAATAAATATTCTGCTGTTTAAATCCTAGGATTTTACCCTATAGGTTTTTCCTGTGTACTCCAACTTGATTAATAGTCATTAGTGTTAACCCATATCGTCCAAAAGCTTAAACTGTTTAAAAGGGGTCTAAATCTTGCCTTGAACGATTTTTCTTTATTTGTTCTCAAGAAAAAAAGTATGGCATGGTTCTCATTTCCCACTTATCACTAATTAGATTTGAGCAGCATGATAATCCAACTGGTCTTAGTCATAATAAGGAGGATGCAATTAAAAAATTGTTAAGAGAACAAAGAGAGAGAGATGCCAATATGATAAAAGGGGGGATTTATTCCAAAGGAGTTAGTATTTGATCAAAACGACAAAACCAGTGGGAAAAATCTTTAAGAGAAAAAGGTGGGATCCCACCAGAGAGGCTAGCCTATATCACTGACATTTGATACGCGAGAGATCCTTGTTTCAGTGAAAATGCTTATATATTATAGTTCACTTCGCTTCGTGAACTCAATTTAAAAGCAACTCTCTAACAACGACCTTCTCTCCAGAAACTACCAGCATACTATTAAAGAAAAAACTGTTTTAGCATCAGCCAAATTTGGTCATGCCCTTCTGTTTGTAGTGCTACAACCAGAAAACAGTGTCAATTAATGATGACGGGTCAACCAAATAGGCCTCCGGCCTGCGATACAGCTTATCTGGCTTACCCTCCACAGACCAATTCACAGTCATTTCTCCAACGGTCTTTATACCCCATAATTTTAAAGGTCTCAATCTCTCTCTCTCTCTCTCTCTCTCTCTCTCTCTCACCTACACACGCCTGCACCGATATGCACGTGCAAAACTCTTTCACGCATACATAGAGGCAGGGCAGCCTGGGCAGGTGCAGTCACTTGTGCAGAAACAGAGCCCAGTGCACACATGCACAAAGATGCACAGGCTACTAGTTTCAAGTGAAAGGTCAAAATAGGTTTTACTTGCAATAATGGTTCATAATTATAAGATGAGATTATTGGGCCTTTTTTTTATTTCTAAGGACTTCAGTGGATATTTACATTTATAAGTAAATCAGCTAAATGCATTTCCTGATCAACTTTTCTTATTACCTTTTCAGTTTGAAGAGATAGTCTACAAGGTAAATTATGAAAGAAAAGGAACTTGTTGTGGAGGAACAGTGAGCACTAAAGAGAGAACAATACTAAATGGGGTGACAGGCATGGTATGTCCAGGAGAGATTCTGGCGATGTTAGGTCCATCAGGCAGTGGAAAAACTACCCTCCTTACAGCCCTTGGAGGCCGACTCTCTGGCAGGTTATCAGGAAAGATCGCATACAATGGCCAGCCTTTTTCAGGTTCCATCAAACGTCGGACAGGATTTGTTGCACAGGACGACGTTCTCTATCAACATCTCACTGTGTTTGAAACACTTCTATTTACTGCACTACTAAGGCTACCTAAAACCCTGACTAGAGAAGAGAAAGTACGACATGTAGAGAATGTTATAGTAGAGCTGGGGTTAACTAAGTGCAAGAACAGCATGATAGGAGGGCCGCTATTCAGAGGAATATCAGGTGGGGAGAAAAAGAGGGTAAGCATTGGCCAAGAAATGTTAATCAACCCAAGTTTATTATTGCTAGATGAGCCTACATCAGGTCTTGACTCAACCACGGCTCAGCGGATCTTGAACACAGTCAAACGGCTAGCTAATGGTGGTCGAACTGTCATAACCACCATCCATCAGCCTTCTAGCCGACTCTACCATATGTTTGACAAGGTAGTCTTGCTCTCAGAGGGTTGCCCAATCTACTATGGTCCTACTGCGACAGCCTTGGAGTACTTCTCTTCAATAGGGTTTCCAACTTCCGTCATCGACAATCCTGCAGATATCCTGCTCGATCTTGCTAACGGTAATAAGAAAATTCAGTTTTATGCCGCAAGTACATAATATGTGCTAAATTTTTAACAACCTTGAAGCCTCAACATTTTCTGGCATCCTTCTGAATTTTATGGTTCTGATTACGACCTTTAACCGAACTCAGCAAAATGAGTTCCCACCCTAAGATTGTCCCATCTTCAGTTCCATAATACCAGGATCATCTCCTGCACTAATTCCATTCTAATAAAGGAATTCAATTCCCTTTACTAACAAAAAACGCTCCCCAAATTATATTCCCAGGGTAAATTGAAATACATCTGAGAGAAGAAAAAATAATGGTAACTCAGTCATTTAAGTATTTATTGCATTTTTTTCAGGAATTGGACCTGATTTCCAGCACGCAACCGAGTGTGGTGACAAAACACAACAAGATCCAAAATCCGTGAGAGAATTTCTCATCTCTGCTTATGACAAGAACATTTCAACAAGGTTAAAAACTGAGCTATGCAGTTCAGATGCAACTAGCTACAACTACATAAAGGAAACCTCCACAAGTAAGTCTTCTATTTTCTGCCTCATATTCAGGGAAATTTTCATATTTTTTCTCTATTTTGTGTTAGCAAGAATCTGTTGTAAAGGCTTCATTATCTTCCACTTCTATTCTGCCAATTGCCTATTGGCAAAGTTTCTCATGATTTTCAAATAACACAGGAAGTGATATTATGCCAGAGCAATGGTGCACTACTTGGTGGCATCAATTTAAGGTGCTTCTTCTTAGAGGACTGCGAGAGCGAAGGTTTGATGCCTTCAACAGGTTACGAATCTTCCAAGTCCTGAGTGTGGCAATACTTGCCGGGCTTCTGTGGTGGCACACTCCAACATCTCATATTGACGATCGTGTAAGCATTTGCCATATCCATCCACTGCATGCATTTGATTCTACATCAGAGCAAATAATGCTCTCACATATGATGTGTGATACTGCATTTAGATTCTACGGCATTCCAAATAATTTCTTGCAAGGAATGTCTATTTAGCACTTAACCTACATGACCTGGACAAAAAAAACTGCTAACTCTAACAAAGAGTTACTACCTATATGCAGATTGCCATGCTGTTTTTTTTCTCCGTGTTTTGGGGTTTCTACCCACTCTACAATGCTGTTTTCACTTTTCCTCAAGAAAGAACCATGCTAATCAAGGAACGGTCATCTGGAATGTACCGGCTCTCCTCCTACTTCCTAGCCAGAACAGTGGGAGATCTGCCTCTGGAGCTCGCACTTCCGACAGCATTTACATTCATTCTTTATTGGATGGGAGGCCTCAAACCTGACCCTGGCACCTTTATCTTCTCCCTTCTCATTGTTCTCTACAGTGTCCTAGTTGCACAAAGTCTCGGCCTTGCATTTGGTGCCTTACTCATGGACGTTAAACAAGCCGCCACTTTAGCTTCTGTTACAACTCTGGTGTTCCTAATTGCTGGAGGATACTATATTAGACAGATTCCCCCTTTCATAGTTTGGTTAAAGTACCTGAGCTACAGCTACTACTGTTACAAGCTTCTTCTTGGGGTTCAGTACAGTGAGGACGACTATTATGAGTGTGCAACAGGAGTCCATTGCAGGGTCACAGATTATCCCGCCGTCAAAGCGGTAGGTATAAGCAATCTGTGGACGGATGTGGCCGTCATGGCACTTATGTTGGTGGGCTATCGATTTATGGCATATCTAGCTTTACATCGGGTGCGATGAAGGGTGCTTAGCAGGAGACTCTTTCACCAGAATCACCACAGAAGTACAAATAGTTCTCTATTTCTTCAACTGAGGAATAATGTTTTATTAAGAAAAACCACATTGCCAGGTTTTGATCCCGTACCCCTAAAAATGTAATGTAGTACACGTCTGGCAGTGGTTTACATAATTAACTCCGTAAACATTTGAATACTTTTGTAACATGACTTAGAATGTCCTTAACAGAGATAAGCATGTTATGAAAAGAAAACAGTTTGAATCAGTCATATCTGTTGATGAAGATAAAGGAAATGAGAAAACGAAAAACCTCAAAGCACAATAGCATTATGCAAACAGGATACAGGATCCACATGGGGCATTAGAATCGACAAAACAGCTTTAAATTAGTGACTCCTGCAAAGGCATTGACCGCAAAAAGAGATAGAAAATTGAGAAAATTAGGGAGCACATGATAGTGTTCTACTGTTCTGAACAAAGTAGTCAAAAAAATTCATAACCATTATCCTATTTCTTTTCTTTTCTTTTTTCTTTTTTATTCCTTTGGTTTTTCCATATCCTTGGCATTGTCTTTCTTTGAGAGGCATAGAAAGCTCGAATATTCCAATCAATGACTTGGAGATTTGGGGTCTCCTGGCAACATCCTATGAACATCTGCAGACAGATTGTGTCGTCCTAATCCCTATGATTCATAAATGTTAAAGGGAAATAAGGTAACGGGATAACCAGAGAATGAGAAATAAGGATTAAGGAAAGTGGAAAAGAATACAATCCTAAAATCATGGTTTCAAAAGACTAAATTATCTACAGAGATAAACAGAATTTCTCCAATAGAAGCAAATCAACTAGAGAACATGCCCCCACAAGGCATGAATACAACGGTAAGTGGAAGTCCATGAGTAGAAACAAGAAATGATATCCAAAATCCTTGTCATTTTCTACTCACGTATATTGCAGTGTCCACCACTCACTCTCCTTCTGAAACAACAGAAAAGGATAAGTGTACGAAAAATAATGTCCTTTTCATCTTACTGATTGTTGTGGTAGCCCACTGAGGGTGGAGAAATGGCTGCTTCAGTTGGCTGTATCTTTGCACAATAGGACCTAGACCACAAACTAACAAGGCAACAACTAAATTAGAGGTTGCTGATTAGGAAAAGCATATGCATTGCTACAAACTGCCAAAAACTGAGCATACCTCTGAGATATGGCCATTGAACACCTAAGAAGTCCTGGTTCACCTGGTTGAAACTTGAGATAGTGGTCACAGGTCAATGGAACTACTGCAAAATTAATTGCAAAGGTTCACAAGTTTGTATGTAACAGTTGATATTTGAAAAAATGCTCTCCGTTTAAACATGGAAGTACATACTTCGTCTCTTTGAAGGGAGGAGGCACGATGTGGTTGATGCACATTTTAACATTATCTTTCTTGTCTTGATGCAGCACAGTAAATTTTCTGTCTTTTCTATTCGTTCAAGAAAGAAACAATAACACTCATCTTTGCAAAATCATTTCACTTAAAAGAGATTATATTCTCAATTTCTCATACCACAGAGTTATTAAAAATGAGGGGTACCAATCCTTCGTCACGGTTGATTAGAAATTGTTGTTTCCACCGCTGGAGTCAATAGTTCGACGATTGTTACCTTCTGGATAGTGTGAGAGTTAAATGCTGCTCTGGAGAAAACTAACTATGCTAATAGAATTAAAACAAAAAAAACTTAACCTAAGATTATAAAACTCAAACCCCATTATTTAGATCTCTGGTTCTAAATTTTGATCTGTTACACTGTTTTTTAATTCCTCTGTAGGCAACCAAGTACTTGAGTTCCCACATTAAAAAGGCAACAGCAATTACAAAAAAATAATCCTTTTTATCATGGAGCAATGATGGTAAATTAACAAAATACTTTGACAGCCAATCATTTTAAACTTGTTATTAACTCTTCAACTCATTGTTTTGGTCAAAAACTTTACTAAACCCACCAACTTTCTAATTCAATCAAACAATCCAAAAGCTCTCCACCAAAGAAACTGTCAATGATTCCCACTACCATCTCTGAAAATTCCACTGTCATCTTAAGCACAAGTCTCAAACATGAATATGGAATAACTTCTAGATTAGATATGTTGCTAAAGCATCCACATCACTACAAATCAACTCTAACTGCTGACTTGGAACTTGATCCTTCATCAAATACAAGACATATTCATTAACAATAACACCTCATCTTTGACGACATAGAACAAGGCTTAATATGAACTGAACTTAGATTTACAAGGTTGGTAATGCGAGAGTTGATACTGAACAGAGGGCAATTTCAGCTCATGCGCAAACTTTGCTGTAACCTTCATGAGCCTAGTTCTCACCCCATGGTAAAGCTTTGTCTGGAAACCAGTTGGACTCAATGGTAGATGTAATCGATATGGAATATTCTTTAGTATGCTGAGTACAAAACCCATTTGAGATGGGCTTAAAATTCCATGACCTTTTGGTAGGGATATGACATCATTGTTACAACAAGACCCAAGCAGCTGCCACATTTCAGCAATGGAAGATTAATTTAAATTGCAATGACTTCATACACTAAAAGCCCTCAATTTGTGTCAATTTAACTTCTCATTACAAGGTCTCCAATCAAACTCTGCATTCCTAAGTGGACAACATACACTCTGATGGAATTCTACATATGGGTTAATTGGCAAGGTAGAACCTTGATTATACTGCTTGGATAGAATTTGAACACTTAACAAGGCAACCAGGCAAAATTCAAAACAAGGTTTCTTCACCCACCTACATCTCTTTAATTTCTCTTTGGTTTCTTTTCCCAATTTCACTAGTAACAATTGGTGTTTCATTGACAAAACAAGGTGTGAGCAATGAACTTACATAGAAATGTCATCTAGAAGTAAGTCTCGAGCATTTCATGTATAAGGTTTTCAAACTAGTAAATATTCAACAAGGAAACTCTGCCCATAAAAGCTCGACTGCTGTCCTTAGGCTGATTACATGAAGAGAAGAAACACCAAATTATCAATCAATCCTCCAATTTAGGGATTACATTAACAACAAAATATCGTGTTTCGGCATTCATAAGTCAGACTACCGTGAGGTTACACTACATCGTCTCAGTTTCGAAAAAATCAATTGATCACTTGCACCAAAAGAGTCACAATATAATGGTCCAACGTGTCCATCATTGGACGAAGATAGCTTGGCATGGCAGAGCTTATAATAAGTCGGCAATGAGTCGTCTTTAGTTGGATTGAGAAACATAATCGATGTATAAAAATTATATTTGATCAATTTGAATTTTATCAAACATGTTTTCAGGCGAATCAATAACCGCTCGAGTATCGTCTATTTGCATGTTGATTTTAAGGTGAGATTTACTTAAAATGATTGTTATAACTTATAATTAGCATACGAGTAGGCATCTTTAAGGGGATGACCATGTCCGGGAGACCTAGATGGGAACATGGCCACATAAGTTCCTGAAACGGAGGAGAAATATAATGCCCTTAATCGTATTCATCCTCACTTTCATATCCAATTGTGCACCTTCTCTTTATCAGCCAATTTTACTTATAGATTCTATTCAAATAATCTATGATGCATGGATATATCGATACGTGATTTTCGAAAAATACTGCAGTCGGCACAAGAGTCGACACATTAATTAAATTTTGTTTCAATTATTTGTTAATTTTATAGTGTAAAGAAATATAAAAATGAAGAGATATTTTCCTTTGTCGGCATGAGGTGAAGGGTGGAAGTGGAATGAGATCAAATGGGATGCTTCTTGAGTGTGAGTTTATTGAGGAATTAAACTAATAATTTTGCTTGTTAAAAGGGTTGATCCATACAAGAAACAAAACTTTTGACCCGTTGGAGGAATATTGACCACTTAAAATACAAATGTTGACCCGTTTCTAATTAAAAAAACATTTTAAAAATTATGTCCGCGGCCCCAACCCCAAGATCGTGTTTTATACTGTTTGTGAAACAACTCATCTTCCCCAAACTAGGGTTTGAGGACCTACCAATAAAAAGTCAACTTACTATCGAAATCCCGTCGAAAAAAGCTTGGAATTGTGACGAAGATATGCACATCCAACAAGACCAACATTTCATGGTTATGATTTATTTTACCTTTTCCTTCTTTTCCAAACAGAAATAGACGCGTCTCGACACTCCGCCATGCGATGCGAAGAATGTGCAAGGCGGAAGGGATCATGATTGTAACCCACTGATGGAATATCGATACGTCTTAGCAAATGGTTATTAGTAACAATCTTTTTTTATTATGCACTAGTTTGTTTGAGCTCCATTTTTTTCGGATAATTGATTTTGTAATAGTGATTTTTGTGAATATAGGAAAATTTGGAATTTACTTGTAAAATTATTTTATTGAAAGAATATATGGTTGGAAATGAATTTGTGAAAAAACAATTTTTTTTTTTTTTACGAATGGAGCTCACACATGGGCCAAATTAGTGTTGGCAATTTTTTGGACTAATTTACATCAACTTACTATATTTTAAAATTTAGAGACCGACTACCTACAAGAACAATATGTTGGAGAATAGTAGTGCAATTTTTCCTTGATAATAGTCCAGCAAAGATGCGTCGTGTGCATTTTGTTCAATTTAGATAGATAATTCACTTCATTATCAGAAGTAGCTTTTATAGGTGGAATCGAAATTGATGAATGTTGGTTATATAGAAATCTCAATTCCATATCGTAGTGAAATATATCGGCTTTCAACTTGTTTTGTAAATCACGATACATTTCGACATATAATGTACTCGATGTTATGAAAATTGGAATATCACAATATATATCACTCATCCATTTCTATACCCATCAATCTTTTTCATCTTATTCAAAATCACTAAAGTAACAAATCGGGAGTAAAGTCATATATGCATGACGAAATATAATTTTTAATTAAAAAAATGGTCAGAGCCGACTGTTAACAGTCGACCCAGGGGGTTG